TAACAAAATTGAAGCATACTCACTTTAACAGCTTTGTGACCTTGGCCTCTATTTCAAGTTTGAAAGGATTCCGCCAAGTGCCGGTGAGACCGTTAACGTCGTTTGCGAACTTACGATCATAACGAAATTTGAGGAATGGAAGTCAAAAAAAGACCAGCTAGACGGTTCCTCGCTGTCGAGATAGGCAATGATATCTACAACAATTTACACAAGTAGATTAGCCAGGTATGGCTCAGGATTATGCATGTTGCTGGTCCTTAATGCTGACCAATTTTGATGGGTACGCAGTGGAAGTCGTTTTATTAATTTACAAAAGCCACACTGCTTAGTCAAATACGGTCAATCGTACGACCTAAAAATTACGTAACATTAATTCATCTTTTTAATAAATAGAGCCCACGGATTCATGCAGTGCAAAATGCAAAAATGCAAATATGCAAATAAAATTTTTTATATAGTAAAAATATATTTTATTTTAAAAAAATTTAACATTTCAATAGAATTTTCTGAAAGTGATCTATAGTTATCATCTAAAATTCTTTTTTTAATTAGAAAAACTGCATTTAACTTCAACTTCTGAAATAGTTAACTAATCTATGATAAATTTGAAAATTCAGCACCTTCATCTACTTCTCTTTCTTTTTAAATGAGTTGATAAGTTTATATGAACTTTGATAATAGACTTACATTTATAATTAATTACATAGTTACAAAATCTACAATATAATTTCTTATTTTCTAAATGAAAATGAATTTTAAAAATGAGAATTCTTTGATAATCTTTTCTGATGCTAAAACCATTTTTGTAAAAAAGATATAGGATTTTTTATTCTTAAAATGGTAAATACATATATGATTATATGAAAAATGCAAAATTATACAAATATATGAATCTGTGAATTCTAGAATAAATGCATTAATCATTTTTTCATATACTATCAAAGTATTTATATTATTTACTGTATTACGTCATTACAAGACACTAAAAGTTTATGCAAGAGTCTATGTCATGATGTATTCAGAAAGTATATAAAGAAAACTTAGAATTTTCTTAAAAATTTTAAATTTTCATTGATCTGATTAAAACAAAACTTATTTTTTAGCATCTATTTTCAAATGTTTTTTCATAGAATCAGAACTTCAACTTCTGATAGAACCTTCAAATTTTAACACTTTTTGGTAAAACCTTAATATTTTCTGATTCAACTTGCAAAATTTATATCATGTTAAACTAAAGGTTATTTACACGCTAAAAGAATTTCTAACAAAATATAAAGAGAGAATAAAAGAAGCTAACATAAGAATGGAGAAATCTATTAATGTAAAGTATTTTATTTTTATTTCTCTTTATAAATTTGAATAAGTTTGCAAATTTAATCTAATAAATTTAATAATTTATAAAGGATAAATCGAAAATAAAATTACGAACGCTAAAAATAAGATGTTATATCTTATTATTGAAACCATAATTATCAATTAATCAAAAGTAATAATCAAAAAAATTTATATAGTTTTTGATAGTTTTGACTTTTATTATATTAGAAGGATTTTGTCATATTCCTTATTATGATTTTAATATAATTTCATCTGAGTTTAGGCTATTATTAAGAGGTTTTGTCTCTCATTTATAAATTAGAAAGTCAAGAAAAGAAATAATTTTTTATATAATCATGGTAGATAATAGTATTCATTTTTTTTTTGTAGTAATACATTCACAAATCAACTTTGCAATCTGATTTTTAAAAATTTGCTGGAAAATTAGAATCTTTGAGAAGAATTAATTGCTCAAATTTTTTTCTTTTAATTATTGTATTTTTTTATTTTCATTAGAATGCTAATAATTGCAAAACCTAGAAATATATATATTAACAAAGTTTTCACTCATATCTATTTGATTTTAACATGTGGTCATTTTGAATAATCGATTAAAATAATAAACTGTTTATAACATGTTGATCTGAGAATTATCAATATATATTTTTACAGTATAATGAAATAAGCGAAATATTTGATATGCTTTTAACTGTTAAAGGGAGAGAGTATGCGGGTCTTAAGCCATTAAATGCGAGTCCAGCATCATATACTTCTATTATTTCTTTGCTCTCAAAACTTTATGCAATATATACAATTATTCATTCAAAAGTAAAAAATCACATTAGACACTAGATAAATTATTTATAACCTGCCATTGTACACTGTATAGTCAGTAAAGAAACCTTCGACTTTTTCCATTTTTTGCTGGTAGCCAGCTTTTCTTAATTACATAAATTTCCAAACTATCTATTTTCAAAAGAATCATATGGACGCCCTTTTATTAAGACCTAAAAATATGTTACTTAAAATACTAAATTATATCTTATTTGAAGACTGTAAATTATGCTTACATGTCGAGATATTCTATTAGTAATGTATTTTTAATTGTGATGACAATGCGAAAATTAAATGACGAAGGATTAGATTCTCATGATTTAATAAATATAACATTTCACAGATTTGTTAGCACAATTAATGTGCAAGTAATTTATTTTATAATTTTATATTTACTGTATTTATCTTACAATTATAAATATTAGAAATTGCGCATATCTTCGGCATATATGCAAAACTAAAAGAAAATTTTATAAAAATCAAAAAAAAAAGATTATTTAAAAAATAATTAATACTTTTAAAATGCATGAAGTTTGATAATTTTACTAGATCAGAGGATAATTTGATTTTTTTTCTTTTTTTTAATAAATCGCAAAATATTAAATAATTTTTGACTAATCTTCATCATATGTCAATCTATATTCAAAAATAATTTCATTCTATTATATACAGTAAAAGATACTGCTACCATAGGAGTAACTTTTAAATATCCGATACTCAATCCCACAAAGAAGCCTTTAAATCCATTTGTTGACCAAATTGTCCTAATTGTTTGCCACATCCCAATAAATTTTGTTGGATCTAATGCACCATAAACTTGCATCCTACGTCGAATTACTTCTAAAGGATATGATACGGTTTGAGATATTGCGCCCGCTAACCCACCCACTGTTAGTTCAGCCCAAGTTTTTAATGGAGGTTTTCGTTCTTGACCTCGACTATCTAATTTTCCAATAGCTAAAGAAGGTTTGGTAGTAATATCTGTTAATGTCGTCCTACAAAGTTCCGTCAACAAATGATGAGTCCAAAATGAAACTCCTGCATATGGTATCATGCCCATTATCGTAGGATTTAAACCTCGATAGAAATTCATAATTGGAAAATGAATCATTCGACTATGAGACGCACTTTCATGATATATCTGTTTACATAATGAAACATAACTTAAACGTGAATCATATCGGACCTCAAAGGCAAGTCGTACACGTATAAGCTCTAAAGGATAAGTACACAACACAGATGTAACACCTAGAGACAAATCCCACAGATTCAAAAAAAACATGATGTCACGGGATTGATCACATTAATATAGAATAAGGAAAAGATTACAAAGAACTTACCAGCCAAAGATCCGGACAATAAATGTCTAAATGCAGTCTCGTGTTGTGTTGGCATTAAGATCTAAATTTAAGTTCGTTCATAATTGTGACACACAAATCATCTAAAATATTGAAAGTTTTTATAACTATAAACCTTACATGACGAATTTGTTCATATGCGACAAATTTAATTGCAGCATAAGGGAAAATTCTCATTAAAGTTGCAGAATGACCCTGAAATAACCCCCTAGCCCCATTATTTGTATAAATTTCTTTGCTTGCTTGAAATACACCCATCCATGTGCCTATTAATCGAATATAAATAAAATAATAATTAATCAATAACAGTTTACTACTAATAGGTTCATCATATGATTCCTATAAACAAATCACAGCATGCAATTACACACCAAAAGGGTTTTATGTCAAAACGCTTCAAAAGTAGAATCTACCTGCATATTTTTGAAATAGTGGGCTACTAGTTTGGAACAAGATTTTTACTCTGTCCAGTGGTGCAATTACAGTTTTAGCCTGTTATTTTAATAAAGGTTGTGAGCAAAACTTGGATGAATTATTATTATTATTTTTTAAAGAAAAAAAACCCACCACACAGCCGGCAACGCCACCGGCCAAGCCAGATCTTATTATATAACTTAAGCTTTGCTTATTATGATATATAAGTTTTTTTCCTAAAGCGTCCTGAGACGCGTAAGCGGGTGTAGCCTTTTGTGGTTGAGAGGTAGTCGTCGTGGTTGACATTGCAAGTGAAAGAACTCTTGCATACTACTACACTATGTGACACAAAAATGAAGCGAAAGTCTATCTTGGTAACACGTGATTTGGTCGGACTTAACCTAGATAGTCGAATGCACAAATTTTTTTTTTAGTTAAGATCGCTCCGGAGATTTCATTTTTTTTTCCAATACTATTTCTATATTTCTATATGTCACACCCCTCGGGACCAAAAAAATTTGGTGATTATGTGCTTATAAGGGAGGAGTATTAAAAAAAGGAATTCGTCAGAGGGTAGCCCGAATCTTTAGGCCAGAATTAAGATTGATTGCCAAATTTATAGTGCGATTGAAGATTTGGTTGAAAGTAGCATTCCTTATATAAATGGTTAGAAGATTGTAATTATTGTTTCGATTCCGAATTAAATAAAATAAATTCTTTTTTAAAAGTGAAAATTTGAAAAATTTCGATTGGTCATCAACAATACAATTCCAATTAAACAAGTTTCAATATTACAATTAACATAACATAAACTTTTCGTAAAAGTATCCAAAAGTATTTTTGACACTTGATTGGCTGCTGATTTTACGCCGAAACGAACGATAAATCGAATTCCTCCATTAGCAAAAATTAATTTTCAGATGGTTGATTGACTAATACTTAATCAACATCTACTTGATTTACCCAATCAAATCAAAGAGCGTGAGAATAATATTAAGTCATTATTTTTTATATATTTCATTATATAAGTTCATTAGGTTCTGGTGTTACTTTTGTTCTTTCATAATAACAACACTCACTATGGCTACATATGAAAAAAGAAAAATCAATGGTCAAAATAAGAACTTTCGTTTACCCTCTCCTTCGGCCACTGAGCTGGAAGAAGACGATCCTGCTGTTAAACTTCAACCCTCAGACATTAAAGATTATTTTTTTCCTTCCCATAGACTTAAATCAGGACTTGAAGGTATGCTTCTTCCATTGCTTTATGTTGTAAATAAATTGTAAATTGAAATAAAGCTTTACCTTGCTACCTTAAAATAACACGCGTATGTGGTAAATGCTTCTTTATTCAAATATAAACACGTGTTAAAAATTCTGAACTTTCTCATTCAAAATGTAACGTCCACGAACATTATAGCTTAGAAAATTTGAATTCTTTCTCATCGTATTTGGTTCGATTTAACGCCTTTTCTTATATAGGATTACAAGTCAAGAAATAAACCAATTAGTAATTTTATATTGTTTAAATAATGAAAGAATTACATCCTCAATCAAAATCCAGCAGATGCAACGAAAGAACCTGTTGTTATAATCGCGTGTGGGTCGTTTTCGCCAATAACTTATTTACACCTACGGATTTTCGGTACAGGATTATTTTAATATCTATTCAACTACATTCGTGAATGTAAAAGATTGTTTTTACATTTTATTTTCTTTACAGAAATGGCGAAGGATTACATCCTCGAGAACACGAATTTTGAAATTGTTGGAGGATACTATTCTCCTGTTTCAGACCATTACAAAAAGGAAGGACTAGCGCCGTCTCATCATAGAGTTCGTATGTGTGAGCTTGCGGTAGAACGAACTTCCACCTGGTTAATGGTTGACGCATGGGAATCACTTCAGTACGATTACACTAGAACAGCAATGGTCCTTGATCACTTTAATGAAGAAATAAACATCAAACGTGGTGGCATTAAGACAGCTAATGGTAATTTTCTACTTAATTTATCTTTCTTTTAAATTATATTTAAATTTTGTCCATTCATTATTAAAGGTGATTATCGTAATGTGAAAGTTCTGCTGCTTGCTGGTGGTGACTTGATCGAATCTTTCAAAATACCTGATCTCTGGCAGGATGATGATGTACGTTGCTGGTTATATATTATTTAAGATGGTGTAGTGTATACTTATATTTTCTCATATGATAGCTTCATCATATTCTCGGTTCTTATGGATGTTTGATTGTTGAAAGAACTGGAGTCGACGTTTGGGGCTTTTTATTAGGTCACGACATACTTTACCAACATAGGGTATAAATAAATAATTTTTTTTAGAACAACCATATCTTCATCCTGTTATTAATCATTAATTGCATCATATAGAAAAATGTATTTGTAATCAAACAATTGATCTACAACGATATCAGCTCAACGAAAGTTCGGTATGCTTTTATTTTTTATTTATCTTTATTTATTTTTTATTTATTTTTTATCCCTATTTAGACATTACTTGTTTAATAGATTGTTCGTGAAGCGCGGAATGTCTATAAAATACCTTCTTCCTAATTCTGTGATCAAATACATCCAGGCGCATGGATTATATATTAC